TATATATATATTATAAAAGTGAACACAAATTCATAATATATGATGGTTTGTGGTTGAATTAGACTCCAAAAATATTTTGTCTTGTTAGTGCATTCTCTTTAAATTACTGTTGAGACAATTTTTTAAAGAGCAAAAGTCGTATAATTTAGGTAATAGCGAAGCATGCATGTTATTTAACGTCTACATAGAATAGGTCACATGAAAAGAGGTTTTAGGTCATTACTCCACAAATCCGAGTGCCGTTATCTGTAAGAAGACAGGGAGTGTAATCTTTGGCCTAATTTTCCTGCAAAGTTGTAGCGAGTAATGTTAATTAAACAAAATATAAGGTATAAGAAATTAATTTTAAATTTTGATCATGAATTAATTGCACTGTATATATATATAACTAGCACCTCTCAAAAATCAAAGCAAAAGGAGCGAGGGCCAATGCAGCGATGGCATTGCGATAGACAACGAACACATAACGGTTCATTCCATGGTTGAGACTTGCGACGGAGAAGATGTATGCTCCGGCAAATCCAAACTGTAGTCCCACCGTTAACAAGTAAGGCTTTGCGTTAGTGAAGTTCTTCCCAAAACAACTATAACATATTTCTCCCATCTTATTAATTTCTATATGTGTTTGACACAATATATATGAAAATTCTATATATATATATATAGCTTCTATTGTTTAATAAGACTTGAGAGATAGTCTCTAGCGTATGAAATGGCCTTCCTTATAAACACCAGAAGTAATGATTAAGACAAATTGCACTAGGGAGGGGAAGAGGATAAGTGATAAGTATCGGTGTCCCTGTTTAAAGTTCCACTTTTGGTCGATCTCAAACAAAAAAGCTATACTATTATTATTTAGTGGAAGTACCTGCTACTATGGCTTTGGTTGATTCTCTCTATTCAGTTGCCGTGAGTCAGAAAACACTTTCCTTGCTCCAAATTTTCTTTCACAAACGCACTGCAATTTGCTTAAAAAAGAAAAAGAAAAAAAAAGAGAGAGACAGTATTTTGCATTATTAATTTATCATATTCTTCACGGTGCATGTGGCATTAATTAAAAGCCATTTATTAATTCCACCATTCCGTTTGACATTTTTCTATTGCAATCACGATCTATATTTAATTTTTCCAGATCGGAGCTAGTAAAGAAAAATTACATTAATAGTGCAGTATATATAGTGATATGTGATAGTGCCTGTTATCTGTTAAAAAATTATAAGATGTGAAATTTATAATAAAGTTACATGCGAAGAACTCAGTTCAATCCTAGTACCTAAAATAAGGAATGGAACTAAGTAAAACACCAAGCTTTAAATGGTTAATGTCATGTCAAACATCAACTCCCCATAAAACTAAAGCTAATGGGTGCAATCGTCGCTAAAATGCCATCTGATATGCAATACATGAATCACATGCATGATCTATGGAATAAGTATGGATCGTAAAATATCAAATCTAATGCTCAATACCGTGTCAAACACCAACACCTCGTATAATTAAAGCTAATGTGGGTGGAAAATAATTTCCAATCAATAATGCTATCTGATAGTGCATTAGTTTTTTTGATAGTGCATTATGTGATTTAATGGATTTAATTTTGAGTTAGCATTAGAAAATTTACAGTTTTTGATTAAATATCATCCTTCTTAACTAATTGTTATAAAATAAAAAACCTTTATTTTCCAACATTTACTTCAGTGTAACTGCGAAACAATCAGTTCACATGTTGTTTTAATGTAACCGATAGTTCTAAATTTAAACTTTGAATGCAGCTTATTTTACTCGATTCGAATATACTGCGTAGTTCTTATTTATAACGTCCGAATAATTATTTATTTTTTATAATATAAGACTTAGTTTATAATATTTGATATATTAATTATATTTAGATTAAAATGTCTTCAATTAAAATAAATTCTCTTAATTTGTTGAAATATATTAATTAGATTTTCCAAAAAATATATATGTATTTTAATTAGTCAAAAGACATGCACTATAATTGATTAAGATACATAAAAGTATTAATAATTAGAAGAAAAAAAATAGTATAAAAATAAGATAAATTTATTATTTTGAATTATATTAACTTTTCTTAATATTAATGAATTAGATATTTAGGTATAGTATACATATAAGAATATAAGTAGTAATTATTTTTCATAAAACTAATAACAAAATGATATGGCCTATAAATGTGAGGAGGTTGGAGTATAATTTTGCCTTACGTATGATATTCTGCTTTTTATCCGTTCCAACCTCCTCGAAACTTTTACATGTTTTTATTATGATAAAAATGCAGTGCACCCAGACGAGACGATTTGTGGAGGGTCTGAAAGTTACTGAAATTTCGTTTTCCAGGCACCATTAAAATAATAGGGGATGATAGGCAGGGATGGATCTAGGTTCTCTACAGTGGGGGCACTTGCCTCCACTTCCATTTTATACATGCATTTTTTTATTTAAAAATAATAATATATTTAAAAAATAAAAATTATATTTTAATAAAATTAAATATGTATTTAAATTATCATATATATAAAATATAAATTTAGAGGAGATATTCATTTATTTGATGTTTGTCAAAATTTTGAAAAAAATTAATTTTCTTATGCGATAAAGAATATTTTTTAATAACGAATTAATTTTAAAAAAAAAGTTTAATTATAATATATATATATATATATCTTAATACTCATATATATAATATAATGTTAAAAAATCAATTTTTGATAAAATAAAATTTGCAGCATATATGTTTAGTTTTTTTATTTTTTGTTTATTATATACGTTGATTAAAAAAATCAAAATAAGAAATATCGAAAAATTTATGTTGTATTTATAATTTTTATTTTAAAATATATTTTAAAATAAACTATCATCTAAAAATATATATTAGATATTAAAATCATGTTTATATCATAAATAAATTAAACTTGATTTTTATAAAATTTAACATATTTATTTTTATGTTTTTTATTAGTGTTAAATTATTATAAATTAGGTCTTTAGAATTATAGTTTTAATCAAATACTTAAAAAAATGTTTATGATAGATAAATAAGTCATACTATATATTTTTTTAAAAAGTTATATTCAAACCTACTAAATTATAAGATAATATAATATGATCTAATTTATTTTTATCTTTAATTCTAATCATAAATATAAAAACTTGTAAAAAATAATTATGATATATATTTATACTTTTAAAAATTATATATATAAATTTTAATATTATAAATATATAAATAAATATTATTACTCTTACTATCTAAAATTTTTGGATCCGTCACTTATGATAAGTAAGGTAAGCAAGGTCGAGGATAATGAAAATTGTAAATCCCCTTGCCCTGATGATGCGCTGGATCAACTTTATATAGGATAAGAGTGAAGAAAGATGGAATACCCACACATCGAGGAGTTCCTGCTTGAGTTTACAGGTCTAATATGCTCCACTTCAATTAATATTTTCGAAATTTAAATTATTAGAATTTTTTTCCACTCACACCGTATGATTCTTGAAAATATCATCTAATTTTTAAAAATGCACATTATATCATACAAAAATTTAAAAGTTCATACATTTTATTTTCCATTAACTAATCGATTAGTAATGCAATTTAATCTCTTTGATCACTAAAATAACATGTTGATATCATGTATTATGTTAAATATTGATTATGTCTAGTTATTATTTGTTTGTTACATTGTCAATTTATGTCATCAACAATTAATCTAACATGTTAACAATTAATTTAGCATGTTAACAATTAACATGATATATTAACAATTAATATTACACATTAATACTTAATATGATCAATTTATACTTGTAAATTTCATGTTTGAATTGTTCAATTTTCAATGCGGATAAGTATATTAAAGATATCATACATCGACTTGTAAATAATAATTCTAAAATAGAATATATAAGTGAGAGAAAATTCTTACTTTATAAATAAATTTTGTAAATTGAAGTTATATATAAGCAAATCTACTTTTTTAAGACACTTTATATCATGTAACTAAAAAAGATTATAAAAAACATATATAAGTCTACTTAGAGAATAAGCCTACTTAAATTTACTTCACTTATTAATTCATGTTTTACATCAAATTTTAATGATCCAACTGTTAAATTAAAAGGTTTTTTTTATTATCAAAATTGTAAACTTTTTAAAAAATTAAAAATTATTTGATGTTTCTTTCATTAATTCAAATTGATAGTAATTATAAAAATATTTTATATGTTGATTTGAATTAAAGAAATGAAGTATCAAATAATTTTCATAATTTTAAAAATTTGTAAACTTGATATATGCATTAAGAACATTCAATTTAACAATTATATTGTTGAAATTTGATATGAAATATGAATTATTGAATTAAATAAGTATATGTGGGCTTACTCTTACGGAGCATTTGGTACGCGAAATATTTTTACATTCTAAAAAATCTTAAAGCGAGAATTTTAGTTTCCTAAGTTTGATAACTATTTTAAAAAAATTCCATGAATATAATTTTTCAAAAGCCATATTTATCCCATTTTCACCCAAAAATATTCTCATAAGAGGATGGGAATCTAACTTTCTTGACTTAAGAAAAAAGTTATATGTATATTAAAAAGATCACAATATCTTTTTTAAAGTAAAAAAATATATATATGTCTTTCTCTCTCTCTTTCTCTTTCTCTATCTCTCTCACTCTCACTTCCCCTTCCCTTCTGTTTTCCTCTCTCCCTCTATATCTTTGTCTCTCTCTCCCTTACCCTTTCTTTCTCTGTCATTTTATTTCTCTTTCTCACTCTCTCTCACTCCCCCTCTCTCCCTCTTCCCCTCCCCTTCCCATATCTCTATTTCTCTCTCTTGTACCTAATTATTTTTTGACTTTGTCAATTTAATAATATTATTAAAGTCTATTTTATTTTTATATTTTAATAATATTTGTTAATACTTTTAATTTTTTAATTCTTTTTATTTGAATGGAATAAATAGATCCTTACTCCTTCTCTCTATATAGTTATAGTTGTACTTGTAGCTCATTAGACTTATTGAACGTGTTTTATGTTTTTAAGATGTTAAATATATTTCATTTTAATATTTTTTATAAAGTAGTAAATAGATTTATAATGAATATAACATTAGTCTTCGACTTATAATCTTATCGTAGATTTCAAAACATTATTTCTGTGGAAGTAAATAGTAAAAAAATGTTGAAGAAGAAATGAGAGGTCAAAGAGAAATTTAACTTATTTTTTTTATATTGTATTTTTAACCGAAATTTTCCCAATAGTTTCAGACAGCACCACGTGCAGCAGCGCTGTAAGACACTTAAATTGATTGTATTATCTCAAAATAGTTTGTAATAATCGATGTCTAGTCTTAGCAATAAAACAAACAAAAACTCTTAAAGAGTGTGTTCTCGTTTTACATCTGAAGAATTTATAAGCGTCGTCTTTGATCGGTTTATAATTTCCTTGTGATTAAAATAAGTTTGTTAAATTCCACAAATTTATTTTAAAAGTTTCGAACTTATATTTATAAGATAATTAAAGTAATTAATAGTTTATAATTTATAAATTCTTAATTTTTTTCATTTGTCATTATTAATTTAGATGATTTTAAAAAAAATTAATTTAAAAATTATTTTATCTTACATGTTACATTTTGATATCTACCATATTTTA